GAGAGTTTTAATTACTTTATCAGAAATTGCATAGAGAAAAAAATGTTGAAGATGATGTGTTTATGTATTACCAAAGAACAAACACTCGTACTTAGCTTCAAATCCATCCATTTTCAATATAGTAAAGAAGAAGAAGAAGACGTTGATGAGAATTAGAGAGATTACTTAATGAAATGTGTGTGAGAGAGAGAGAGATAGCTTATGATCAATGTGAAGGAGTTGGCTATATTTATAAATACAATTTTTTAAAAAAGTGGAGTTAGGACACGGAATATTTGGTTATATTGTTATGCTTTATTTGTCAATTTGTTAGAAGTTGCATAAATGAATAAGCTGATAATGTTTGTAAATAAAATCATATACGAGTTGTCAAGTAGACTAATAGTCTATGTGTATAAGGAATATCCAAAAAGTATATTATTTTATAAGAATTATCGTGAGTATCAGAATTAAAATTTGTCAATGTATATGTCTGAAAAATACAATATAACTTTTGAGAATATTTGTAGTTTCGTCTCTAATTTTCTGTATACATAATATGGCTTTGTATTAATATGGCTTTTGCATTAATATGAAATAATCTTCAAAAAGCATAATGTAGGATGATGACTTGGCGACTATGATAATGATCCACCATATCCTTCGTATGCTGATACGGGCAATAAGATGAGTCATTTTACTATTTTTCGCATATACTATTTTTTTTTTTTTATCATTCATATTATATTCTGAGTCATTTTCCACATTCCATGACCTATCATTTTATTTTTCTATAAATAATAGGGAATATAAAAAGTAAAAGTAAAGGTTATTAGAAAAAAAATAGTTGTAGACAGAACAAAAAAAAGAGAAATTTCAAAAAATATCACTTTCTAAGTGCTATTTTACAAAAATGACACACTTTTAAAATCTTTACAAAATGCCACTTTTTCAAAATTATTTTTTTTTATATTATTTATGTTTGGGTTAATTATCTTCTATTAAGATTTAGTTATGAGGGTTTAGGAGGGTTTAGGGGTCAAACTATTTTTTAGTGTTTAGAATTTTAAGATATAGGGTTTAAAAATCTATAATTAGTGGCATTTTTGCAATGAACATCCCTAAGTGACATTTTTGCAAATGTGCACATAAAAAATGGCATTTTTGCAATTTCTCCAAAAATGTATCATGCAGTAACAAATAGAGAAATTTTAAAAAATGCCACTTTTCAAGTGCCACTTTACAAAAATACCATATTTTTGAAATATTTACAAAAATGCCACTTTTTCAAAATTATTTTTTCTTTATACTATTTATGTTTGGGTTAATTATGTTCTATTAAGGTTTAGATACGAGTGTTTAGGGGGTTTTAGGGGTCAAAACATTTTTTAGGGTTTAGAATTTTAAGATATAGGCTTTATAAATCTATAATTAGTGACATTTTTGCAAATGAACACCCTTAAGTGGCATTTTTGCAAATGTGCACACAAAATGTGGTATTTTTGTAATTGTCCCCAACAAATATCTTTATTT